ATGTATATATATATATATGTATATGTATGTATATATATGTATGTATATGTATGTATATATATGTATGTATATATATATATATGTATGTATATATATATGTATGTATGTATGTATATATATATGTATGTATATGTATATATATATATGTGTGTATATATATATATATATATATATATATATATATATATATATGTATATATATATGTCCAACCTTCTGGAGCTGCGTCTTGGGAGCCACAATCATGAGCTCTGTTTTATTGCTGTTGATTTTGAGCAGGTTTGATGACATCCAGTGCCCGTCTTTTCACTGAATTGTCGTCTTGAAAAGGGTACTCACAACAATTCCGCAACAACTTCATCTTCACCTGTTGCACTTGTCATTTCAATGTTAAAAACAATAAAACGGCATGAATTGCTTCGTCGCATTCATCTAGATCCTCTGTCTCGAGCCAGTTAACTAGCGGGCCACCCTGGAACCGAGGAAAACTCTGAAAGCAGGGGCGGACTGGGACTACAAATCAGCCCGGGACTCTCGACCGGCCCACTTCGGTACCGCCGGCCCACCGCGGTACCGCAAGTAAATACCGCTAGTAAATAAAACCATATTTGGTTTATTATAATAATGATATTGTGGTCATTGTTAAAAAATGTCTGCTATGATGAGTATTATTATTTGTAGGCTATAATGCACTTTCTGCCTTCCTGTCATTAGGAGTTAGACATGTAATGGCTATGTAATAGATTAGATTAGAAACTTCATTATCCTAAACTGCAGGGACATTTCTATAGCCAATACCTTTATATTTTCTACTCTTCACGTACTTGTCAGCATAGGTCGGCATTGATGTACAGAGCCACAGAAGACCTTGTTTATATTGGCATCATATTGAGAGGTGCAGCCAGTGACGCATCCTAAAACCAGGAAGTAAGCCGCTGGTTCCCTCGACAAAAAGCAATGGGATTTCGGAAAATAGCTGGAAATAAGGTATGTGGAAAACGAACCTGTTTGATAAATGCACGTTTTGTTCAGCCGGATAATCTCCACATGTCTACCCTACTTTTATAATTTTTTAATCATAAATCTAATCGATAGATTATAAAAGGGTTTTAGGACGCATCACTGCACCACTAGAAGCCAACTCCATCGATCAAGCTGCTGAAACTTTCTCTCCCTCTTCTTCTCATACTCCCTGTCACTCTCCTTTAACTCCTCCGGTGAATTTCTTTTATTTGAAGATTGTTTTTGCCCGGCAACCGCTGGTGTTGGGGAATATTTTCCAAGGCCCATAACTTTGACCCAGTTTATCAGTTCAAACTGTCCTGACTGAGCACACGCACCTCGTAACCTTGGCTGCTGTGCTCTCAGTGTTCTGTCTCCCTGTTCCTGCCTGTTGGCGTCAGCTGATAGAGGTGTTGTGATTTTATCTTGTTATGCAGCATGTTGATGATGCTCTCAGAACTAGCTAAACACATGGGTCCGGGGTAGAGTTCTTGAGAATTGACGTGGCAACTCTACCGTGCAGTCAGATCGTGGCTGCTGTGACTTGTGATGTGAATTCTCCGACCGAAGCTCCAAATAAACCATCAGTGTTTGACATCAAAGCTCCTGCTCTTCCCGTGTCTCTTTCCTGAGTCGGTAACTCCCACTGCATTGCTACACAGAAGTTTCCCTTACAGCTGGTATTAAAAACATTTTGGCGAATGGTTAGGTGGCGCGATAGCAGGGTCGGCGTCATGGGGGGTCATTCGCGGGCCATGCCCCCCCAAATGAGTCACTGGGCCCCCCCAACGCAGGGTGGGCAAGCCTTGCCACTTTGCCGTTTAAAAAAAAAAATCATATAAGTGAAAACGTTTCCACTAAAGGTTTTTTGTGTGAAATACGTCAGAAATAAAGAATACAAATATAAAACACAGCCTGAGCTGTGCTCACTGCTGCTCTCTGATTGGTGTGTTGCTTGACCAATGACCCCCGACCTTTGTTTTGTTATCATTACGTGGCTGTGTGTTTAGATGAAAGCCCGGTGGCGATCTGTTCATCTGTTACACTGATTATACAGTAAAGCCATCGAAAATAATATGATACAGTACAGTACAAGTAGCCTACTTCTGGGTCTCTGTGTTTCATTCAAGCTCGGCTCTGTGTGTGTGTGGCACGAGCGCATTTTGCGAGTGCGCAAGCGGTAACGTGGAATGTTGATGTTAGCATCTGGTTAGCTAGCTATGCTAACGGATATAAAGAGCTGTTTCTACACCAAGGTGGAGGACAGTCCTCTCCTGTCAGACTGAGAGGATCGTATAACCTCAGCTCAGTGAGGTAAGGACTCTCTCAGTGTTTAGATAGTTAACTTTAGTGTAGGTTATCTAAGTGGGTCTTAAACGGTTTGGTCACCATTTATGTAAACAAGTATTTGCGAGGAATACCTTTATATGATCATTATAGTTATTAAAGAATAAGAGAATAAATAAAAAACGGGTATGAAATACTATAGGACAGTAACACAAGAATACAGTTTAAAAGGGGAGTGATTAGTAAAATATCCATAAAGAAAAAGTAAATCTGTGTACAGTTCTGTTTCATATGGATGCTGAGAGATGTAGGCTATCCATAGATCTCTTCATTTTGCTCTCAAAGTGCACCAGATTGATGCATTTAACTGCAATATTTTTTAAATAATCTTCCCGGGGGAGCATGCCCCCAGACCCATAGAGGAGGTTAGGTCCACACCCACCTAAAACATGTTCACATGGATAGGATACTAAATACATTTGCACCCTTTTTATATGGTGGCCTATGTCCTTATATGTTTCTGTTTTGGTGGTCGTGCCACAACCGTGCATGTATGCACAAGTCATAGGTGCGCTATACAATAGCACACCCTGCAATGTGTGTGAAAGACAATAGACTTTACAGCATGTTTTTTGAAGTTGCGTTGGTGTTTGTGTGTTGGTTGTAGGGCTGCACGGTATTGAAAAAAACTGACATCGCGGTTTTCCCCCCCCCCTGCGGTATATATCGCGGTTTTTTTTAACCTGTTAAACCCCAAAGTCCAGGCGGGTACTTTACTTTTTTTTTTCACGACAGTGTCTCAGGGGATCGTAATATTTAAGAACCTATTAATGTGTTATACCAGATTAACGGAAATAATCTCAGCTAACTGAGGATACAAACCATTTTTACCAAAACAAAACACAAGTCTCATAAGAAGCATCTAAATGACCCCTGAGCGAAAAATGCTAACGCACTTTGGCACAGAACTCAAGATAAAAGTACCCTTATTATTACTTATCGTAGCTGCACTTACAAGATATCCGATTAAAGCTGAGGTTCCACAGATGATTTAGGTATATAGTATCATCACAGTGATCTGAACTCGGACAGGGGAAGCAAACACAGACATCACAACACGTACTTTTACGTAGCTTCGAGGGGAGATGTCTCACCGTAGCTGTCAATCTGATCAAAAGACTTCAATGGCATTAAAACGAGAAAGAAAAAACGCGGCTGAATCGGTTAATCCATAGGTTTTTAACGTCTCTGTATAAAAAAAGGGTTTAATTTATAATCCATAATTCCATTTTTATGTAAATATCGCAGAGCAAAAGTTAGCTGCTAATGGTAGCCACCAGAGTGGCTGCTGCTTCCGGTCTTGGCTATCCGGAAGTCTCACACACACACATTACCAAATAAGGACTGTGTGATTTCCCCTCGATTCCATTGGCTCTGACGGTCAGAAAGAGATGTCACATGTCAAAATCGAACAAGGGGGGCCAGAGATATGGAAAATCCACCCAAATGGCCCCAGAAGAGGTTTTTTTTGCTAAATCTGTCTAAAAAGGTCAAATATCACTTGTTTTGCATCAATCTTGATACAGAGTACTTATTATATGTTGTACTTTGGATTCCTAAAGCTTTTAGTCTACTAACCCATCATCCAAGGTTAGTTTTCACTATAAGTACAAAATATATTTTGGACGGACACTATAATTTACAGTTTTTTACCATGTTCAATCTGAATTTTCTTTAAAATAAAAAACATATATATTGATTCTGACTTTTCTACATCCAACTCACAGGTTTATCATTGCTTTGAGAAAAAAGATTATTAATTTAACCCTTTTAGAAGATATGGTCATTTGTTCTGGGAATGTCATTTTCGAGCCTGAAACCTGAAAAACAGGCTCAGGGTTTAACAGGTTTTAACTATATTTAACCGGATGAAGGATTTTAGTCACGGACGTCTGGTTGACTCATCATACTTTAAGTCATGATCTAACTATGATAATGCATGTTGCAGGTTGCTTACCCTCAAATAAGGGGGTTCATCTGTGAATGAAGAAGAGTGGTAAGGGATCCAAGAGATTAAACGTATTACATTAAACTATAGGAAGCTTCATTATCACATTAGGGAAATAACATACGTGACAAAATAGGTAATTTAACTTTTTATTCCACAATTAAAACCGTTGTTGTGCAAATAGCAGCAAAGCATTGGACATCTTTTAAACAACATTATAAAAATAAACTTAAGAACAGCTATACACCAGCTCCCCTAGTGGTTTACAAAATTACAACTTAAAACAAATAACTTGTAATAAAAATTGAACTACTACAATATCAACTTGTGAACCATTTTGTTTCACAGACCTTTTTTTAAATCAAAATGTCTTAGCAACAGTCAGTGCAAAGGAAACAAAGTGTTCTTGGTCATCATGGCTAGCCTAAACAAATAAAGATCTGCTTTCTTTCTGAACAGAGCACCTAGAAGTTAAATCAATCTGAACATTTCTTTTTCACAATTTCAACTGTTGCATAATGTAGTCAAATATAATAATTTGACTTTTAACGCATCTGTATGCATTGCTCAATCAGGCTTAGAGGTTTTTGGCCAAGAATACTAGTCTATCCACTAATGCAGGCTTGAGACAAGAACGTTGGCAAGTGACGATGTTGCCACTTGCACTGAAAAGCCTCTCTGAGGGGGCACTTGTAGCAGGCATAGGTACTTGCGGGCAAGCTTGGCGAGTTGTGGAAAGATTACTTTGTGCGTTTTCCACCATGCAAGTGGATCTTCCTCTTTGTCTATTGAAGGTGTTAGCAGGTAGCTGTTTAACTCTGCTTCCACAGCATCCTTTAGGTACTGAGACGAATCAGCCTTTGCTGCAGCTTCGCTCTGTTTAAAGAAACTTCCTAAAGACCTCTTGCCTTTCTTTGCCTGGGACGTGCCAGCCACTTCGCACTCCATTTCAGTGCTGCAGCTTGCAGCTGCAGTCTCCTGGCATGTCATGATTGTCGTCATCATCTCCGATGTCACTCTGGCCTTGACTTGGGGCTTGCTGTCTGCAGTGATGAAGTCCATCTTGAACCGGGGGTCCAAACAAGATGCCATATCTAGCAGCTTCATCTTCATATTTCTCATTCAGGTAATCCCTCATCTCTTTCTTCAACTTCTTGCTCAGGTCTGTGTCTTCTTCTCGCATTAGCAGCATTGACGAGTTGAAGAGATGAAGAACTGGCTTCACATAGGAGACACTAACGTAGTCTTCCCCTGAAAGTGCGTCTGTGAACTCCAGCAATGGGCCCAGGGACTTGCTGACAGATTCCAGGACATCTATATCTTGCCAGTTTGGAATTAGATGCCGCAGCTTCTTGTCCACAGACAGGACCTGACTTAAAGCTTTCTGCTGCTCCAGTATCCTGCTGATCATCATCTGCCTGGAACCCCATCTTGTTTGGCATTCTGTTATGAGGGAATGTGATGGCAGATTGAGTTCCTTCTGGGCTTTTTCAAGAGCACTTCTGGCCTTCCAGCTGTGAGAGAAGTGACCCACCAGCTTCTTGCACACACCCGCAGTACGGTTGATGCGGCCATCCTTTTTCACTGCATTTTCTAAGGGGGAATAAATAAATAAAAAGTAAAGATTAAATATTATACACATTTATATTAACTATACATTTACAAGTGTGTGTGTGTGTGTGTGTGTGTGTGTGTGTGTGTGTGTGTGTGTGTGTGTGTGTGTGTCCTCCAGTTTGAAATTAGCTGCCTTCAACAATGAATTATAAATATTATATATAGCTTGTAAAACGTAACATTTATGAAACTCATTAAAATTAAGAAAACTGTTGCATTTCAGGACAGGTTGTTAAGCAGTCCTGGAAAATATAGCATTACTCTCTCTGTTACACTTCCCTGAATAAAGGTTATTAAAAAAAACACACTCGACACAGACACAGCTTAGTAAATAAAGCGTGGGCGGGGTAACTTACCAACTGCAAGATGAAGTCTGTGGCCAAAGCACTGCAGCCTGGTCCACTCGTTCAGGGAGGCAGCCTTCACCATATTTGCAGCATTGTCTGTTGTTATACAGACTTGACGTGTCTCATCCAGGCTCCAAGCAGCCACCGCTTCTCTCAGCCCCGCTGCGATGTTCTCACTTGTGTGATTTTCTGGGAAAAATGCCGTTTGCAAACAGCGACTTTTCAGTGTGAAGTCCTCATCAATAAAGTGCACCGTCAGGCTTATGTACGGCTCCGTTGTCCGGCTGGACCACAAGTCCGTTGTAACAGCATAGTATTCCACTTTAGACAGCTCTGTTTCAACTTTTGCCCTGCATTTCTCGTACAGGTCGGGGATGGCGACTTGAGAAAAATAGGTGCGTGACGGTATTACGTACCGCTTATCAAGTGAGTGGATCATTTTCTTAAAACCCTCTTTGGTAACGGTGTAAATTGGTACCATGTCTTTTGCCAGGTGAAATGTTATGGCATCTGTGATGTCTTTATACAATTGCATGGCACTGTCTACAAAGTACCTTTGTTTGGTCAACATCAAGCTTTTTGTATCCAAAATAGTTCCAGATGGCAGATGTTGCTTTTCTTCATGGAAGTAAATCTTCATTCTCTCCGGTATTGTCCTCCTGTGCCTCGCTCATTTTTTACCAGTGTTTTGATGGTCTGCAAACTAGCGGGGCGGGGCCTGCTGTGATCTGATCAAGAATTATTGTGATTGGTGGTTTGCTGTGCATGCAGGGGAAGTTCTACACACACCAATACATGAACAAATAAGGAGTGAGAGTGACGCGTAGCCAAATGGTGGCTACCATTAGCAGCTAACTTTTGTGCTCCGATTTTTACATAAAAATGGAATTATGGATTATAAACAATTGCTTCAAAGCCACAGATACATTATCAACCTATGGATCAACCGATTCAGCCGCGTTTTTTCTTTCTCGTTTTAATACCATTGAACACGTCTTTTGATCAGATTGACAGCTACGGTGAGACGATCTCCCGTAAAAGCTCCGTAAAAGGTACGTGTTGTGATGTCTGTTTGCTTCCCCTGTTGCTAGATCGGATCGCTTAGATACTATACTTTAATAATCTGTGGAGTCTCAGCTTTAATCGGATATATTGTATGTGCAGTTTCGATAAGTAATAAGGGTATCTTTATTTTGAATTCTGTGCTAAAGTGCGTTAGCATTTTTAAAAAAAATGAATAAAACCGCACGTCCCTGCGGTGTGAATACCGCGCATGTGCATACCGCGGTTATCGCCATGACACGGTATATCGTTCAGCCCTAGTTGGTTGTTGACGGCAGTGTGTGCCCCCCCTTTGTAAATGATTGCCCCCCCCATTCGATTTGTTCTAGAGCCGACCCTGCGCGATAGTCTGTAGTGAAGGAGCACGCTCCCGCTCACAGGAGCCTGCTCGCGCTGCGCTCCGCAGGAAACAGCCGTTTGCTTTTCACCCAAAAACGACAACCGACTCACGGAACGCTATGTTTAGGGCCGCCTTAATGCACGGGCTGACCTGGGCTGAAGCCCAGGGGCCTACGGAGATCAGGGGCCTATCGTGAGCCAATAAAAAAAAAAGAAAAGAAAAAAAAAAGTGTTTTATTTCGGATGTTTTAAATTTGTTTTTAAATAAACAAAGTCTTGGCTTTCAGAATATGAAACTTTTATTTCCAAAATTACACGATAAATATATTTTTGAAGCTTGTAAAGGGAAGAAGACAGGTCTCCCTCGCCACTCTGCTGTTCTGCTGTTCCCCTCCCTCCGCTGACATTATGAATGTAAGGCATAAAGTAATCATAGATAACACGGCAGGGTCACAGTTTGTTTTGATTTCAAATAAACAAAGTCTTGGCTTTCAGAATATTAAACTTTGTTTCTGCAAATTCAGACGATAAATACAACTTTGAAGCTTCGGCATAATTACAAGCGGAGAACGGAGTAACTTGACGTCACAGCAGGCATAACAACAGCCGGTGTTTCTCGTGAGGTTTTTCCCCGGGAAACAAACACAATACACACAAACGCAAAAATACACAAACACACACACTCGTGAGCTTCCCCCAGACCAGTAATCCAAACGAAAATATCTTCCCTCCGTAGTATTTTGATCATTTGCTCCGCTAATCAATCAGATCGATGGATTCCAGAGATTTTTCTCAAAAATGATGACTCCGTAACAGTCAGTGGACACCACTTAACAGCCAATCAGAATGAGAATATGTTTCACATGTGACTTATTCAAATTGCGAGTGATTGAGTGACAGATGAAGGTTGTTTAGGAGAAAAAGTTTGAGAAGAAAAAGTTTGAGAAGAAAAAGTTTGAGAAGAAAAAGTTTGAGAAGAAAAAGTTTGCGAGTGTCGCTCGGAAAAGGAAATTGTTGAGGGAAAAGTAGTTTTGAGACAAGCAGCTATTACAAAAAATGCCGAAGCTTACAGGTTATTTTTAAACCTGTAGGCCAGGATGAGGAGGAAGGACAGATGAGCTCTATACCGAGCGGCAGCGGTGCCGGCCGCGGGGCCTCGGAGCCAAGTAGGCCGTCTGGTTCTGATAGCGATGGAGTAGCGGGAGAGGAAAAACAGACAGGAGGGATGTTGGAGGAGATGGAGAGGACGACGAGGACTTGCTACGTGGAGGGGAGCCAACGGCAACCGGACCAATACATGAGGGAGGCCCGATACGTCACTCATCTGGAGGAGAGGACCAGGCGCGCGTAGAGCAGAGTGGAGAAGTGCGATCACAGAGCCTGCCGAGGTTATAAATGACTTTGATTTGTTGTTTAAATAGGGGGCCTACAAAACCTATCAGCCCCAGGCGCGGTTGGCAGGTTAAGGCGGGCTAACTTGTAGCGTTGATAAACGAAACAATTTAACTAAATTGCTAGTAAAAATACCAATACCACAGGACAATTTTTTTAAAGCAATATTTTTAGTGGAAGTGGAAAGTACGTTATGCTGGCCCGGGGTGTCTTAATAGTGCTTCCAGGCCAGCGGGCCATTTAATGTCGAGCCCTGCCGGTTACCGGCCCACTTCAATACCGGCCCATCGGGATTCGTCCCGAACGTCCCGATGGCCAGTCCGCCCCTGTCTGAAAGAATACGCCCATTGGCTACAAATCAATATATGATTGGTTGATCAAACTGTCAGTCCAAACGTACGCTCTCATTCAGTGCAACGGCCAGGGGATTCTATCAAGGATGTAGAATACCTTGGTTGAAGGATATTCTACCCAGAGACCCAGAACAAGATCTGATTGCTTTATTTTCTAACACAAAACCACTGAAATGCGTAGTGCATGGTCCGAGAACTACAAACAAATCAACGTAACACTGTAATATTACAGAACAACAACACAGATACGATTCTCATTTATTAATTTTATATACATTTTATTTATATAATTAAATCGATTTTTTGTTTATTTTTTGTATCTGAGTGTTCCAGGGTATTCTCTGAATACCTTGAAGGCCCTGACGGTTCGCCACTGATATATATATATATATATATATATATGCTATATATGCTCTGAACGTTCCACTTCCTGCCTGCCCGACATTACCTTACGGCTGCATCGCGTAAAAAATAGGATTCATCCTAATTTTAGAGAAGCCCTGCGCCGAGACGCTTCTGGGACGCTTCTGAGCCGTAACTCGCCGCGTGTGGTGGAATAGCACCCATTGACTAGAGTGGCCGCGATCTTTGCGAATGCCGCGGCCGTAACGCGACGCAGACGGACCCGGTGGAAATTAGGGGTCACCCCTCCTCGACTCCTCCGTGTGCATTTCAGCTATTGGGACGTCCTTCAAAATGGCGTGTCTTGATCGATTTCCGGGTCAAGTCCCGTAGGAGGGGAAGAGAGGAGTCAAGGAGGGGTATTGGGATGAGGCTTGTGTGTGTAAAAAGACGATCCACAAGCAGAGATTTGAGATCCACGAGCAGAAATGTGAGATCCACAAGCGCATTTTTGGTCGACAAAAATAAAATGGATTCGAAAATGGCTGATCGAAAGTTGTAAATGTTAAAGAGATATTCAACGATCTTTTTTTCATTTGTAAAAATATTTTGCGTATTTGCAGATCCGTTTTACATTTGCAAATTTATTTGTCAGTTTGCAAATCTTTTAAATGCATTTGTGGATGGTGTTTTACATTTACACATCACATAATACACACAAATTATTTTTATGTTCACACTTTTGCTCCGATTCTCACTGCCCAACATGGTAATCAGGTGTCTCGCGCTCCCGCGGATCTCCGCTCGGCAGAGCACGTTTTCATACGGCACGATGCGCACAGGGGTCCTCTACGGCCTCCTTACGACGGACCTTTCCGTGTTTTGGAGCACGGGGAAAAACACCTTGTGGTCGACCTGGGTGGTAAGGCCGAGCGCGTTTCTGTGGACCGGGTGAAGGCGGCCCATTTGGATTTGGGTCAGCCGGTGGTGCTGGCACGACCTCCGCGACGGGGGCGCCCCCCGGCCTTGATCCCTGTCCCTGTTGAGACCCGTTGTTCCGGTCTCGCCTCTTCCGGAGGCCGCACATGCAGAGGTCGTTTTCCCGACTCCCATGCTCAGGAGTCGACCTGTCGTTCCGCCCCTCCACGCTGATTTTGTTTATGGGTGAATTCTGGGGGGGGCTTGTGTGGTGACACGTTATGATACATAATTCACCATTGATATTATTGTGTTGCAACCCGGACCCGTTAGTGAGGGTACCGGGGTTTGAGGTCATTCATGCTAGCTTGTCATGCAGAGCAGCACATGTACTTACCTGTTGTTGATTAATGGATAATAAAGTGTGGAAGTCCATTCTAAATACACCGCCTCTACAACACAAATATACATATCTAAGCCCATAGATCCACCACACGCACTCCATCGTTATTTGTTGTCCACAGGGAACCCGAAATGTTCCCACACAGCTGATTTAAAAGAAGCAGGTGGTTCTTCTAGCTCCTGTGTGTTATCTGAAATCGCCATACTAACTTTTCTTCTTCCTGTATTTAGTTTGTTTTGTTGTGTTTTCTTCATTTGTTGTTTAAGGGTGGCTGGCAAATAGCTTTTAGGCGCAATACTGCCCCCTGGATTATATATAGTGTAATGGATACTGCCCTAAGTGACAGACTTTTTTCCCACTCATAAAAAAAGGCGTATTCGTTGTGTAACTGCATGAACCGAACCAAATACGGATACCGTTACACCCCTATGGTACAGTGGTGGTATGAATTTGGCTTTCTGTCAAAAACCTTGATAGCTCTCTTGTACAGCTGTTCTATTGGTTTCAGGTTTGTGGCACAAGCAAACGACCAGTTTGTAAAACAGTATTCAATGACACCAATACATTCTATACGTGGGATAGAATCATACAGTGGAACAGGGCCGTCCCTCCCTACAGGAAGATCACGCAGACTGCGTGGGGCCTCACCTCGCGGAGGGGGCCTCATCTTGAGGAGGGAGCCTTAACTGAGCCGCAAATGCCTATGCGTTTAAGCGGCGCAATTAGTGTGTCGCGGCACGGTTTGCGGCATGGTCGTGTGGGGCCTCAAGTTGGCCAGGGACGGCCCTGCAGTGGAGGTATGACTTTGCAGCATTGACAGCTAAGAAAGGTCGAATTTGTTTAAAATTTTGCAAGTTGAATTTAATGGTATTGGAAATTTAAATGTCCACTGAATAGTCCCTTCGGCTTGCACCGAGGATCCCACACTATCTTTGCTTGATTCACTGTTTGAAACATTTTTGTGTAACAGTGTTTTTTAAATACCTTATTTCTAGGCTTTACCTCGGTGCAGTTGTTGACAATGGAGCAGACAGAGCTAGCTGTTGGTTTGTGGTTCTCTGTTGCTAGGCTGCTAGCCATCGGCGTGCCGTGGACCCACAGTCCTCCGGCAGAGCTAGCTGTTCAGCTAGCTTGCCTGAAGCCAGCCGGCGATGCGTGGATCTCCGCTGCTATTCCTTTAGCCTTCGGTGTGGGCCCCCAGTCCTCCGATGGTGTGGAGATGGATCCTGCTGCTAGGCCAGTAGCCGTCAGCGCGAGACCACACCACAGAGACCCGTCGGCAGAGCTAGCTGTTCAGCTAGCTTGTCTCGTCTGAAGCCAGCCGGTGATGCGTGAATCTCCGCTGCTAGGCCGCTAGCCCCCAGCGCGGACCCGCAGTTCTCCGATGGTGTGGGAGCTATCCGGCCTCTTCTGAAGTTAGATGGTTGCGTGTGGATCTCTGCTACTCGGCTACCAGCCCTCGGCGCGGACCCGCAGTCCTCCGACGGTGTGGGTATAGGTCCTGCTGCTAGGTCGGCAGCCGTCAGCGCGAGACCGCAGCGACCCGCTGGTGGTGCTAGCTGTTCAGCTAACCAGCCTCTTCGGAAACCATCCGGCCGCCAGCTGTCAGGTCGATGGAAACGACGCCGGGACCCGGACACGGGTGGATATCTCCCGAGAGCAAGAGACACAGCAGAGCCAATATTCTCCATTTTTCGTTTGTGTCCCTTTTTTGTGTTGGAGAGAGTCTGCCAGGAGTGCCAGATGAATGTACTGTAGATTACATGCCGACCATGGCCGAAGTGCTTGATATTCAGCCATGTTGCTGGTGCAAATAATGATGTATTCCCCGCGTGTTGTCTTACCAAGGGGGCAAGATGAGTGGTGCAGCCAAACAGAGGCCCGAGATTCAGAACAACCATGCACAGATAGACCGCTGCCACTGCGCCCGAACTGCCCGCCGCCATCTTGGACTTGCACATATATTGAGCGCTCCAACATATTGTACTTGATATGCTAAGGGAGGCAGAGACGTGCACACATAGACTCTAGGTAGTGCTTGAGCACCTGCCCGTGTTGCCCTCAGGACAGCAATGTGCCCTTTTGAAAGTTCGTTTTTTACAGTTTTTTATTTAATTTTTGTACAGTGTACTGTATGTGGCTCATGGTAACATCGATCAATTCTGGATTAAAAGCTTCTAATATATACAACAATGCCCCAAATGCGCGATGTAATTTTGTCAGACATCCCCACACGTGCCCCGCGGCACTTCCGTACGTGCCCTGGCTGCAGCCCCTCCCTTCCCTGCTCTCAACGTGAACGCGCATCGCGCAGAGCAGACAGTCAGTCACTCAGTCAGACAGGCCACGGCGGGTGTGTGGTGCAGCAGCAAGCAGCAACACGATTAAAAGTGCCCTAGTGACGACCAAGTAAGTAACCACCAGGTAACAAATACAACGAGTGTATTGTTTAGTCCCCTAAATCAGATGCCAAACTAAACTATAACTTTACTTCTTTTCTTGCATCCATCCATTTAGTCTCGTTGTGCACTTTTGAAAATAGCAGATCTACACGCTCACAATGCGTCATTATGCTAGGGCTGAAGTGATTAAATGTATGTTTTGTAATAATCTTAATCAAAATCTACATAGTAACTAGTAACTAAAGTTTTCAAATAATTGTAGTGGAGTAAAAGTAGAATATTTGCATCTGAGATGTAGTGGAGTAGAAGTAAATGTATTGAAAATGGGAAATACTCAAGTAAAGTAAAAATGCCTCATAGAGTACAATATAAGTAGTAGTAACCTTATAGGTTTACATTAATGCTGCTGTTACATGTTTCTAGGAGATTAACCCTTAATTATCATGCACAGCAGAGCAGTACATTGATTTAGCTCATTTGCATTTACCACTTGTAGAATAATGCCAAGAAGAGACAGGATAAGAAAAGAAAAGAGAGCTACAGCAGGCAGCCCGGGGAAGCAGCTCTCTGCTCTCCTGGGTAAAGCAGCCTGAGCCTACCAGCAAGGAAGTTGAGGATGCAGATGTGCCTGATGAACCCTTACCCATCATCAATGATGAAGATGAAGAAGAAAGGTCAGAGTCATGTTAAGGGACACACTGTCTGTCTAGAGCCCTTTCATGCTCAGATTTGAACTGTGATAATAATAGTAGTAATAATAATAATAATAATAAATAATAATATAATTGTATTGAGAGGCCCACAATATATTTTAACCACACTAAGTGATACTAAATCAGACATGAAGCTACTTACCAAATGACAAAAAAACAACAACTATGTGGTAGGGATGTTGAATTTTGGCCATGACAGTTAAAGTCTGGTGAGTCTTAATGTTATCATGCATTGCATTGCCTTACCCAAATAATTGAAATAAACATCATATTCTATATTGTTTGTATTCTAGGCAGCTACAGCAGGCTCAGGGAAGCAGCCCCCTGCTGTCCTGCAATAGTCCATCTAAGATGAGGGAGACAAATCCATAGAAAATATCTCTGAGTCAGACACAGATGAAGCAGAAATGTCAGAGTCCAGAGCAGCACCATGTTCAGAAACAGTGCTCTCTGATGATGACCAAAATGAGGGAGAGATGGAAGGAGTAACCAAAAACCAAAAAGAAACTAACAAAATCCGGCAAATTTCCGCGCACAATTTCGCAGGCGGGCGAACGCCAGACCGCCACGACGACTCAGAAGGTGCCCTTTTTTTTCTCTTGAGCACCTGCCCCTATAAATGTCTGTGCACGCCACTGAAGGGGGGGGACATCTCGAAGTGGCTAACCAATCACAACAGAGCTGGCCAGCTAACCAATCAGAGCAGACTGGGCTCTGGTTTCAGACTGAGGGTGAAAAGAGGTGCTGCAGCACAGGCAGGATGAGAAAAATAAAGAGCTTTTTGAACATTAGCAAAATAGGGCCTCTTTAAAAAACGATTGTATTTTAAACGAGAAGATTCAATAGTCATGCTGTAAATGCCAACGTTAGCATGCTGACATTGTATGCTTGCATGTTTTACGTCATCATTTTTGTCTCTTTATGTTTCCAGAGGAAAATGTTCTAGCTTGAAACAATATTGAGAAAAAATATCTTGCAAATATCTTTTAATATGCACGTGTTTTACTTTCCTAAAAAAAGGCGTGTGTTATGTACTTATGCATTTATTTTCTGTTCATCCAGGCACATCTGAGAACATTTTGTTATCACATCTGCATGTATTTTTCAGTGGAAGATGCGTCTGACATTCAGAACGAGTATAACTTCTGATTACATGTGTGAAAATTGCATGTTCCAAAAACAAATAAAAAATTCACTTTGATGCTTTTTAGAGCGCCACATTCCTTCTTTCTGTACATAATATGGAAGCGGGTTTGTGTGACTGGGTAAACAACTTTAATATGCATTTACTCAAGTTGTGTGTGTGTGTGTGTGTGTGTGTGTGTGTGTGTGTGTGTGTGTGTGTGTGTGTGTGTGTGTGTGTGTGTGTGTGTGTGTGTGTGTGTGTGTGTGTGTGTGTGTGTGTGTGTGTGTGTGTGTGTGTGTGTGTGTGTGTGTGTGTGTGTGTGTGTGTTTAGCTTTAGCAAATAAAGGTTACAAATGAAATGTCCTCTGGCTCCAGACACAATGTGGTAACAGACTTATGTAACAGACCCTAGTGTGGAGGCAAACCTCCCTCACACCCTCTACTGCTGGTGTGAGGAACTGCGATGTGCAAGAACATAAAGAGATAAAATAAGATAAAATGGACCCTTATTAATCCCTGTGGGGAAATTCAATAGTTCAAACAGCAACAGGGTAAGAGTGAAAAACAGGATAGCACAGATTCAAACAGATTAACCTGTTAAACCCTGAAAAATTACTTATAGTGAAAACCACCCTTGAATGATGGGATGGTAGACTAAAAGCTTTAGGAATCCAAACTATAACATAATAAGTACCCTGTATCAAGATTGATGCAAAACAAGTGAAATTTGACCTTTTTAGAGAGATTTAGCAACAACAAAACCCACTTCTGGGGTCATTTGGGTGGATTTGACCTATCTCTGGACCCCTTGGTCGATTTTGATGATTGACATCTCTTTTTAACCGCTGGAGCCAATGGAATCGAGGGGAAATTCTACATACACGTTACCAAATAAGGAGTGAGAGTGACGCGTTGCCAAAACCAGAAGCTGTTTTGTTAAAAATGGTTCATATCGTCAGTTAGCTGAGTTTCTTCCCGTTAATCTGGTATGACACATTAATAGGTTTTTAAATATTAAGAAGCCCTGAGACACAGTTTCGTGAAAAAACTACCCGCCGCACCCGGATTAGGGGCCTCTCGGGCTTAACAGGTTAATAAAATAAAAAATATGATCAAAGATACAAATAGAAATAATAATAATAATAATAATGAGAAACTATGAAATAAGAAATGAATTAAATAGAAATAAAAATGAGCATATATACATATTTGGTCATATAAACTATGAAGTAAGAAATGAATGATAATGAAAATGGACATATATACAGAGTCATATATTACATATTTGATATATTAACATGGGTTGTGGAAACAGTGTCTATTTATGTACAGTAATAGTTTCACATTATTGACCCCTTGTTGTGCAGCCTGATGGCTACAGGCACAAAGGACTGTCCGAGGTGCTTGGTGCGTTGTTGTGGAGGGATGAGTCTATGGCTGAAGTTCAACGTACTCCTCATCTTCACTAGCTCTGCATGGAGTAGGTGGGAGGGGTTCTCTAGGATGCTGTCGAGCTTCCTCCTCGTCCTCCCCTCTGCCATCTCCTCCAGATTGTCCAGTTGTACTCCAACTACAGAGCTAGCCTTCCTCACAAGCTTGTTCAGCCTGTCAGTGTCCCTAGTGTTTGTGTTTCCACCCCAGCACACCACGGCAAAGAAGAGCACACTGGCCACCACAGACTGGTAGAACATCTGCAGCAGCCTCGTGCACACATTGAATGACCTGAGCCTCCTCAGGAAGAACAGCTTGCTCTGTCCCTTCCTGAAGAGAGCATCAGTGTTGTCTGACCAGTCCAGTTTATTGTTTAAGTGCACTCCCAGGAACTTGTAGCTGTTCACCACCTCCACATCCTCCCCCCTGATGGTGATGGGGGTC